CAACATTAAAATATTAGTTTAAGACTCAAAATAATACTATTTCTGCAAATGTTGAAAAATGTATAAAAATAAATATCAATGTTACATAACTCTAAACAAATATCTCCCACCCCTATGTAACGCTGCCTCCCCCTCCCCCTTTAGCGATGTGTAATTTATGGACGACCCCCCCCCCCAAGGGCGGTCCAGAATAATAACTTATTACCGATTACCATGAGGTAGGAAAATTACCTAACACATTTGACATTTGCCCCTGATACATAGGCAACCCACAATGCAGTGGTGTTTGGTGAGAAACAAAATTCCATTGACTGCATCAGAACGTGCTCTGTCTTGCTCTAACTTATTAAAAGATATCTCTATTTGAGTGTGTCTTGTCACAGTTTTCATTTTCGTCACTTGTATAGTGTGAGTTACATAGCTTTAAAAGGCCCATCACTTTTACTTTGTCATATACTCGTGAATTTATGGAGTAATATATGCAGTATAAAGAAAGTTACGTACAGCTGCGGAAAATCGATTTCGAGATTTCAACAGAAATACGTTTCGGGTTTCTCTGTCACAGAAAATGTGTTTGTTTTTGGAAAAGTCTGTTTGTCTGTCTGTCTGTAAACAACACTAGAGACTAAATATTTCGAAGGATTTTTTTCCATTGCGAGTATTTTACGCTCGGTCTTGTTTGGATCAAACTCTACGTTTTTGAAAAACATTCTTTCAATTTTGAAGTGCTTTACATGAAGCTCCTGAAGCATTTCAAAATTTTCTCAGAAGTAGCCCCTATTTGTTTTTGTTTTTTAATTATCTTGCAGGAATAAAGTGAAAGACACTTAAAAATATTGTAAAGGTTATATTTTCACTGTTAACTCTGAAATATCAGAAACTACAAATATAATTCTTCGTCTACAATATTCTTAAAGTCAAAAATTAATTTAGGGGACCGAAAATTGAGAAAATGTGGTAAAATGTTCTTTACACGCTAATAGATGGCAGCTGAGAAAAGGGTGGGGCCAAACCGGAAAAATAGACCAGAGGCAATAGGCCCGCAAAATTTATAAAATGTCACTTATACCGTTCTGGTTTTCACTCATTCATATAAGGATGAAAGTTGGACTGTAAACATTCCGAGCACACAGTGTCGTCAAACGAAAGCTGCAAAATAAAGTCGACTCCTGTTATAGTGAACTTCTGGGGACTAACATTTGTGGTTCACTATGTCAGAGGTTCACTATATCCGATGATGTCAAAATTATATAGAATTTCTTCACAATGATTGATTTTATTAATATAGAGATACAGCAAACAACATAAACAGCGCAAACTGAAAATTTCAATATCTTTATTTGCCCTTAAAAAATAAATTACTGACAACTGTTCACGTCTTACATTTTTCATTAGTGATTTCTTTATACCCGTCCGCTGTCACTTAGTACCGTGATGCAGCCTTGCCACCCTTCAATGCCTCTTCAACAGGACTCCGTTCCACTCTCCGATGGCCGTTTTACTCGCCTACACGAGATCCTTTCGGTAGCGGCACGGCGCAAGCGGCTAATGAAACTGATATAAATATATTTAATAAAATTCAGTGCAATTACCTATGTCTTCTTTGTAATTAAGTATTATTGTTGTTATTATTATTATTAATGTTATCATTATTAACATTATTATTGTAATTATTATTAATGTTATTATTATTATTATTACTATTATGTGCAGTGCAGTGACGTGCAACTGAGAGAAACGAGTGAGTAAGAAAGACATTACAGCTCGCTGTATCGCAGTGCGGTGAAGTGTGGTGAAGTGGAGTTCTATGAAAGATTGCACGGTGAAATGTTCATGTGATTTTGTAACGTTTGTAGAGTTTGTATAGTTGTTAAGTTCTGTAATGTTAAGTCAGTGTATTCTGCCACCAAGTTCTTACACTTAATTGCAGAATTATTAATAAAATCTAATGTAATCTGATCGCTTTCTCGCGCGGCGCAGGAACACAGTCGCACGTTCCCCGTCACCTGCGTAGAACACGACGCGCTCTATCTGCGCGGAACATAACATGAAGCTGAACAAAGCAATCGCGAGTCGCTGTCGCCAGTTGTAGCCAACGCAGAACACGGCCTTCCTTTCCGCAGTGAAATTGAGTGGCATAAGGTCTTCAGTCCCCGCCAGTTGTAGCCAA